CCCAGACTCAGTGGCTTTAAAATCATACGAGGTGCATGTGTGTGCATGCCCAAAATTCCAAGAGGAGAATGGAGGAGACAGGATTGTGGTGTGGCCATTCCCCCTGGGGAGTGATTTCTTGTATTCCCTCTGTCTATCTGTCTGTTTGTCTATCTCTCTTTCTCTCTGGTGAGTGCACAAGCCCTATGCAAAAACCTTAAAAAACACACACACACACACAAATTAAGCACATATATTATCTCACTCTATTAGCTAATAATTAATATTGGCTACTACAGTAGGCAAACCCTGACTTCAGAGAGCCTTGACTCAGTAAAAACTTGATGCTTGGTCCCACAAGGTTTGCTGGAGGTTGGCGACCCTCCAGGGCAGAGCTGGTGACTTGGATGTCACTGTGCTCCTATCTTGTCACTACACTCTCTGCAATATGTGGATTCTAAAGTCACCCTAGCAAGAGAAGAGAGCTGGTGGATCACAAAGGCTGTTTTTCAGGATGAAACTTGAAGTTAACTTATGTGAATTTTACCCAGTCTCCATTATTCCATAGTCAGCCATCAGTCATAGGAATACATGTTTTGGTTTTTTTGTTTGTTTTGTTTTGGTTTTGTTTTTGTTTTTAGAGAGAGATTTTTGCTATGGGGCGCATGCACTTGCTAGAAAGACAGAGAGATGGAAAGTGAGAAATCACCCCCAAGGGGGATGACCATGCCGCAGTCCCTTCTCCTACATTCTCCTCTTGGGATTTTGGGCATGTACGTACATGCGACTGGCGTGAATTTTAAACCACTGGGTCCATGACTCTAACTGTGGTCAACTACATGGGAGTCCAGTGATGTAACCATGACACCATCTGCTAGTCCCCATATAACCATGTCTTAATGGTGCAAAGGATGGTGAGAAATAGACTTTTCTTGTAAGCTTAGACAGAGGAAAAGTTGTGATTAACAGGAGCCTCATTCCTGGAACAGGAGGTTCAGATGTAGGGCAGGTTTTAGGGTCAGCTAACTTAGTGACTCAGTAATGTCATCTAGATCTTTTCATTTCTCTTCATCCCACCAGCCTCAGAATATCAGCTTTGTCTTCAGGCTGGTTCTCCTGATTACAAGATGGCTGCTATAGTTCCATCCGTCACATCCAGGCATGCCAATGTGGTGGGGCCAAAAGATCATCCATGAGAGTGAGGGAACCTTTCTCAGAAGCATTCTAGCACACCTCTGGTGACCAGACCTCTCAACACCCAGATTAATCACTGAAAGTCATAATAGAACCTTGGCATTGGGAGGTCTCTTTCTCCTCAGTTACATGGGGAAGGACTTAGTTCCCATGTGAACGAAATTTAAGTTTAGTCAGTAAGGAAGAAAAGAGAGTTTATATTGAATAGGTAACCAGTGGTGCCTGCCACAGCCGCACGGCCAGTCTCTGTACTCATTAACACCCTTTAGGCTCCGCAGTGAAGTTGGCAGTCTCCATGTGGCTCCGGCACTCTTCTCAGTAGGTTTTGCCTAGCGTTGTGTATCTGCTCTTGCTATTGTCTTGCTGTTTTCCTTTGTATTTTCTTGCATATGGGAAAGCTATTAATTTTTTAGCCACCTCTATTCAATTTTTTTTTATCTGTGTGTCTGCCTTAAATTATTTTTAGAGCAATATTAGATGTTAATTAAATACTAGGAAAGAAACTTAGAAGGATCTTAAACAGGAAACAGTGTTGAAGAATAAGAAAGCAGATAATATTATGTTACATCTGTATATTTGAAAAAGATGTTATGTCTCAGTGCTTGGAGAAGATGTGGGATTGTTTGTTTTTCACAAAACGTGTGTTAAAAAATGCTATGTGGTGGGGAAGGGGCAGTTGGGAGGAAAGAGAAGGGGTGATCTCTTTAATGTCCCCAAATATATCTAATGCTGAAACTATATGATTAAGAAACAATATCTTTTAAGGGTATCTGAGAGCTTTAGAGACCTCTTTTTCCCCCATTCTACCTGACAAGAATGGGAGCTGAGTGGTTGGTTTACATATGGAGAAATTAAGGACAGAAATGAAGCCATTAGAATTCTCTCACAGCCATAGTACTAAGCAAACTAGAGCAGAGGTCTTTGGGTCGGTACTCTTTTTAATCGAGCGTGGCCAAGGCGACCGTTCCTGGAGTGAACTCTGCCACCTCTTATGCACTGATGAAAAGGAGTCCACCCATGCAGGGCATACCCCAGTCCCACTCCACACACACTGGTGCACACACACACACAAATGCACATTGCACAAAACCACAGAACATACTCTGAGAACATACTGATTTTTTTTTATAATTTATAATGTTTTTAATTTATTTTTTCTGTTACCAGGTGGCCACTGATTATGGTCCTTGGTTTTTGCAATTGCCAGCAAAGAATTGAAGACAGATCCTGACAGATAAGCTGATAGTATGGAAACTTAAGTGAAGCAAAGTACATTCTCAGAAAGGGAGAGCGGGCTGGCAGAAGTCCCACCAGCCTTGGGGTCTTCTCTTCTCTTCTCTTCTCCTCTCCTCTCCTCTCCTCTCCTCTCCTCTCCTCTCCTCTCCTCTCCTCTCCTCTCCTCTCCTCTCCTCTCTTCTCTTCTCTTCTTTCCTTCCTTTCTTTCTTTCTTTCTTTCTTTCCTTCCTTCCTTCCTTCCTTCCTTCCTTCCTTCCTTCCTTCCTTCCTTCCTTCCTTCTTTCTTTCTTTCTTTCTTTCTTTCTTTCTTTCTTTCTTTCTTTCTTTCTTTCTTTCTTTCTTTCTTTTTAAAGGTTTTTGTCATAGGGAATGTGCACTCACTGGAGAAAAACAGAGAGATAGTGAGAGGGAGAGTAGAATCACCCCCCACCCCAGACCCCTGGGAGGGGGATGGCCACTCTGTAATCCCTTCTCCATTTTCCTCCTGAGATTTTGGGCACACATGTACATGTGCCTGGTGTGGTTTTCAAGTCACCAAGTCTGGGACATGAACAGCAGTCGGCCATGTGGGGGTCCAGCCCTGTGACCACTATGTCACTTGCTGGCCCCCAGGGTGGATTTTTGTAATGATGGCTCAGGATTCCTGGTCCCTCCCTGACTGTAATGACCCCCCCCACT